ATTATTTTAAAAAACACCAGGCACAGTCAAAATTATAAAAAACATTGACTGGTATTATAAGGAGATACAAGTTTTAACTGAAAACCTAAGTATCTGTTAAATATCAGCACAGTATGTATGCTGTTCCTAATATTGCTGTTTTGTAACTGATGTGATTTCTGAGATCTATAACTGCTTCTGGCACTGTTTTGTCCACATCAGTTTTTGGATGTAGTGCGTGATACATGTTCATTAGTTTCCATGTTTTTCAATCCAATTCTTGTAATTCATTTTGAGTCAAATCTATTACTACAGCTGGACATCTAATTATTGCATCTGGGTATCTAATTACTGGAACTGCCCATGTGTTTAAGGATTTAATTGTATTTCCATCATTCCACCATTTAATTTTGATAAGATTTTCCACAATCTTTCCGCAGTATTGTTGTTGTTGTTGTTAATCTGAATCTTAGTCCAATGTTGTAGCCACCACTGCTGACTACACCCAACAAAATCTGGAGGGCAATAAGTTGTTTTAATGCTTCCGCTTATGACATCTGTTCATACATAGTGAAACATAGTCATGATAAGGAAGTTCTGTTGATTTCATGCTTGCTTGCAACAAGTCCTTCTCCCTGTGGTTTATGCTCATGTACTCATTTCCTGATTCCAAAAAAGTGGTGGTTTCATCGTTAAAGACGGCTTTTGTGCTTGCTTGCAAAGATATTCCAAACAGCAGGTAGGTCCAGAGTCATGTCAAGATCATGTCAAAATGTGTGTCTGTTCAATTTAATCAAGAAGCACAGAATGGTCTGTTGAGATGAAGTGGACAGATAGTTTTTAGAAGTAGCACCTCAAGGCATTTAGCAAGTGGCTTAGAGGGCCTATTATGCAACAACAAATCTGTTTAACATTGTGTGATCTTGCTTGCTCAAAAATGTACACAATGTATTATTAAAGTGACATGGATGAGGGACATGGAACATTAGTCACCAAGTAGGTGCCCTTTTAAGTAAAGAAGAAGGGGTAGCTTATATTAACAATGTTTGCACTAAGTAAGCTGAACTTGCTGATGGTATGACCTGTCTGACTGTTAACAGGCTGCTTCAGAAGGTAGTGATTTCTCCTCCATGGGATTTTTTTTTTAAAATCAGTGTCAGACGGCAGTTTGCCCGGCGTGCATTAGCTGTGAATTTCCTTCATTGGCAGAGGTTGGACTAGATACCCCTTGGGATCGCTTTGGGCTCTACAATTTGATGGTGCAATGAACAGACAGCCTTGTTAAAATGCTCAAGTGTTATAGAATCTGAAATAATACTGATTGAAGACGAAAAAGATTTTGTGGATATGGTGGATAGCACAATGTACGCGTCAACCTGGCATGTGACTGCAGTAAAGAAACAGGAAAGACGTGTTTAGAAAATAAATCAAAATAAAACACAGAATGTTTCAGCTAAGCTTCCAAGAGAACAGATAGATCTACTGGCAGCACATAACACTACTGCTGAAGGAACTGCACTGGCTACTTGTATTGTTGCCCAGGCAATACAAAACAATGGCAGGCCAGGTTACCACATAGACCCATTTGATCATTAAGGTCTGCTCAGAAGGGGCCTCAGGGTGATACACTTGCTTCTCAAGTTCCCTTTTCATCCCTCTGGAGCAGGGCCTTTAGCAATGTTATAATTATTATGTGGAATGACCTTACATCATATGTTCAACATGTATGTACAATTGCTGAGATGATGTTATGTATATTATGTCACATGCTGCCAAGTCAGGACTGACTTATAGTGACCTTAAAAGGGCTTTCAAGGTAAATGAGATATGGTTTGCTGTTGGATAGCTCAGTGATTTAGCTGTAGAGACTTAGGCTGGGAATTCAGTCCTGCACGGTGATTCCTATGAGTAGAGCTTACCTGTCTGGCCTTGGGCAAGCTGCATAGTTCCTGGGTCCCCCCCTAAAAGAAAGGAGTGGTAAATAACTTCTGTGTATCCTCTACTAGGAAAATCCTGAAAAGGGTCGCCGTAAATCAGAATTGATATGATGGCACACAGTTATTGTTATGTTCCACACACCCAAGGAGGTTCAATGGCTGG